CCCTCGCCTTCCCTCCCTCTTTAATATCGAGTTCCGCAATCAAAGAGCGCTGTTTGGAGACGGGGAGTTGAGGCTCGAGTCAAAAAGTCCGCGTCGCTTGGTTCTCAGCGCGATGGAGCGCGCAAACCATCATCAAAACCTCACGAGCCGCTTCAGTAGGTGCGTTCATCTTCAACCTTTTAGTTTCAATTTCTGAAGTTATTTTTATGGGTTCTCTTTGGTAAGAAGCGATTCCATTGCTATCTGAGTAAAAATAAAAACAGTTTTTTTTTTTTTTAAATTCCCGTCGCTGTTAGGCTTTAAGCTTTATTCCCTGGAAATTCAAAAGAATTTTTCTTTTTTAAAATTTTTATGTTGAGAAAGGTTTATAACCAAACGAACTTTGGATGTCACGCATCCTATGATCATAGGTAGTACTCATGAGTTAACGCGCTTATCAACACAATTTTTTGAGTTATTTCTCAAATTGCTCGAAGTCATAAATTTCTCATAGCATGGTTCTCCTAGCTTTTCAATTTTAACAGGTTATTGATTGATAGTTCTTTTTTTTTTAATTTTGAGATAATTTGATTGTTTTATCCTGATTATTCATTCTAATTCCTATTTTAGAGATTATAAAAAAAGGATAATTTTCACAAAAGCCCCTTAGCGTTAAGGAATTTCTCACAATGCCACCTGAATTTTAGGCTGTCTCACATAGAAAGCTAGTCGGTTAATTTCGTAGAAATCTGAGAAAAAGAAATTTGGGTGAAGAACCCTTAATGGGGTCAAGTTACTCAAGCCAATGGGAGAGCGTCATCTCATCCTCCCTCTCGATTTTGAATGATAACCAAACTTTAAAAAAGGAAAACGGAAAGTGTACTAGAAAATAATTTCTTTTGCTCTTTTTTGACCATCTTGGACAAGCAAACATTTAAAAAATAAAAATTTCTACACACCCCCCCCCCTCCACGATGTTTGAGAATTCAGGCGACATCATAGAAGATGGAGTCATGATATTCCAAACAGATGCATTTTAAGGCGGTTTGCTCGAAAAATTTGGAAGTTCAGGGAGTTACAAAAGACCCCCCAAAGTCCAATATTTTTTCGTTAGAAAAAAGTGTGAGGGGTCTCCTTGCAAACCCACCACCAAAGTCTAAGTAAGACGGTTTCTGTTAAATTTGCATATTGAAAAACTCTTTTCTAACGTCGGGTCGGGTTGTATGATTACTTAACGGGTTTCCAAACAAGACCAGTACCCGCTCCTCAAAGACCAAAGTCCGACAAAAAGAAACCAGCTCACGCCCCCTTCTTTTTATAAAAATCGAGGGTTTGGGTTGAGACTTCCCCTGCTCAATTTTCTGCTGACGCCAGGCTTCAGATTCAAATGGACGGAGAGGAGTTGAGCGCTCAAGAGACTGCTCTCTACGATCGCCAGATCCGCGTCTGGGGCGTCGATGCTCAAAAGAGGTACTTCGATCTTCGATTGTTTTGGTTCTGAAGTGAAATTTTGAGATTTCTTTGTAATTTTTATTTTTTTTGGGTTTTGATAGGTTAAGCAAGACTCATGTCCTGGTAAATGGATTGAATGGCACTGCTGTCGAGGTAATTTGGTATACGGTTAAACACCTTTGAACTTTACCATGGTGATTACTTTGGAGTTTAGCTGTTGAATCTTTATACCGCTCATCATTAAACTTATGTATTTTTTGTTTTTAATTTTGGATAACCGGGAAAATATTGTGTTTGTCATTGTGAACTGAAAAAAAGGCCATTTGTACTTCGAGTTGAGTTTCAACCCTCTTTGTTACAGGTAAAAAAGGCAGTATGAGTTTTCTTTGTTACAGGTTAAAAAGTCAGTTAGCCCTTTAAACCCGCGATGGAATGGGTACCGATACCTTTAAGCTTCTTTTTGGCAGTTATGCGAGCAATAATCTTTGTTATACATGCATGTTTCTGTTGTAGTTTGCACCTGGGGAAGATTGATTGTGCTACTGATCCTGTAATTAAGTAGCGGTTTCTAAACCTATTACAATTAATTTATGACGGAGTTCTATCAGGAACCTATTGAAACAATGCTGCAGCTGATCATTTTGTTTCTTTTTTGTTAGTTCTGCAAGAATATTGTCCTCGCTGGAGTTGGGAGTTTGACTATTATGGATGACCGTATAGTTACAGAAGATGCTCTTAATGCAAACTTCTTAATCCCTCCCGATGCGGTTAAAGATGAAGGAAGTTCCCTTGCTGAACTTTGTTGTGATTCTCTCAAGGAGTTCAACCCGATGGTTCATGTTTCAGTTGAAAGAGGTACATTTTCCTGCACATTTTCAGCAGTTAAATATCTTTATGAAAATATATGATGTAGAATATAAATAAGTTTCTGAGGAAACCTTTGTTGTTTTGCAGGTGACTTGACACAGCTTGATGACGAATTTTTTGACAAGTTTGATGTTGTAGTTGTCAGCTGTTGCCCATTTAACAATAAAGTACTGAATCTGTCTTTTTTATGGAATTGAACTAGCAACTTGCTTTATGAGAATTTATTTGTTACATTCTCTTAGATAATAATATCTTTTGACAAAAGCAGACAAAATTTTGTGTGTTGTTGCTTGTAATTTGCTTCTTATCTTTGGCACCTTACTTTTGTATGCTTTCATACAGAAATTGATTAATGACAAATGCCGAAAGAGACAAAAGCGAGTTGGATTTTATTCAGTTGATTGCAGGGGTTCTTGTGGCGAAATCTTTGTTGATTTGCAAGACTACAGCTATGAACAGGTATGCTTCTTTAATTTGTTCATTAGATTTAACTTATTTAGTGCTGTACTTTTAGCAGCGAGGATTGGCTGTTTTGCCAAAGTCAATACAAATGGTCTTCCCTCAAGGGGAAGCCCATTTCTATAACCAGTCACCGAATAGATGATTAGCAAATGATCTCAAACATTCTAAGGATTCATATTTAGCCTCTTGAAGGTACTCTATGGCAATCGCTAAAATTTTTAATTAAAACATTTGGAACTTGTAATAGGAAGAGCTTATTGGTGGAGATTGCACTCTTACTCATTCTATGTGAACAATATGATTTCAAGGTCTTTATGATATAGTACAACTAATTGCTTCTTGTATTTGTTGCTTTTTCATTGAGATAAAATAAACTCGAATAACCTTAGCCCTCGAATAACCTTAGCACTTTTCATTACTGAGCATGCTAGTATACTATCATGGTTCTTTGGCTGGGATTTGGACGAACAGCCTAGATCCTTTAATCAAAATTCCTTTTTGTATCAACTAAACTCGGTCACCAATTACGTGGAAGGGCTAACATTGATCTTTAGTCACTATATCTGTATCAGTAGTGGCAGTTTGGTATAGCGCTCCTTAAAGGACAAATTATCACTTCTTATTTACATGTTTTTTAATTTGACTGTATTGCTTCTTATTATCACCTTCTTTCGTCGACAAAGATGAAAGAGATAATAATGACAATGTTTTTCTACCATTAACATTTTGCAGAAGAAAACTGATTGCAAATCTGGATGTCATTTGCAGTATCCAAGCTTCGAGGTATATTTCTTGAACATTCAAGTCTATTTTTCCGTTTTATATTCTTTTAAGTAGTAGATGAATTAGGCACATCGCGGGTATTTTTAATTTGATTTATTCTTTTTTTCCTTTTTCTTAATATGGGTGAAATTTTTTGCTTGTTTCCCGTTTGTCCATTGTGCTATTTTATTTTGCTTTGGTTTGTTTTGATCGTTTCCTCATGATTGGTTTACTTCTTGATTTCGCTTAAGAAGATCAGTACTAGTAATTACTAGTTTAACAATAATGGAATATCAAGGTTAACAAGCTCATGGATTTAAAAAGGATTATGAAGTTACTTTCTGTTTTCTATATACAATAAAGGAAAATGACGTTTTCGGCTATATACTATGCCATCTAACATGAACTACCACGTGTAATAGTTCGTGCATTTTGCCCAGTTTTTTAGTTTATGGGGCAAAGTGCAAATGTCCCTTGTCTGAGTGAAGTTTTTTGTTGATACCCTTTGTTTTATATTTGTTGACCATTTTTTTGGAAAAAAGAAGTTAAAAATAAAAAATATAAAAATGTTGAAAATATATCAAGATTTAAGTGAATCTTCATACAAGTTCAAAAATCAAGTTTAAATAAATCATCTTCTCATCCAGTTGATTGAAATCCAGAAAGCATAACCCCATCTTATATAATTCTTTGATGATGAGCAAATCAAAATTAAAAATAATTATCTTTAATTCAAAGTACTTTAATTAACCACTACTCATTTAGAAGGTGAGTATTCAAAAATTAAAAGAGATCTTGTAGTTCAAAATTAGTTTTATCTATGACTACTTACCCTATATAAGCACAACACCATCAAAAAGTGAAACACCCGAAAATTTAAAAAAATCTCATCAGCCAAAACCCTTGCTCTCTCTTTGTATGTCTATAACCATTGGCCGTCAACGTCATCAGCCAATCGAAAAGATAAAATGAACAAAATACAGTTTCATCTCTCTTATCCTACCCACATGTCATAACTCCTTTAGATCTTTGTCTTTTTTCCTTACCCAAAAAAATATGCACAAAGCTCGTCCCCTCTAGGCTCTACCAGTGAAGTTTATCAAACAACCATGATTAAATTTTCTTCTTTATCCTAAAAGCTACAAACAAACACCCTCTCGTTATTTTCATTGACAAAGACACTAACAACTAGCCTGCAAAACTATCAACAAAGAAAGTTAATTCTAAGAGCATCCAATACCGACTTTAAACACCAAGTATTGAACAAATTGATTTATAAGTCTCTTTATTTACCTTCGAGTCATCATACTCATTGCTGGAGTTTCCATAATCACCCACGAAATTGTTGTACTTACTACCGGAGTTTCCATACTATTTTGAGTTTTATACTCACCTCCAAAGTCATCGTACTTACCTCCATTGTCATTCTCTATTGAGTTTCCATGTTTACCTCCAAAGTCATCATACTCACTCCCGAAATTTCCATACTCCAAGTTTTCATATTCACCATTGAGTCTCTGCATCTACAAAGTTACCGTACTCCCTTTTACATGTCCTTATGCTCAAAATTGAGTTTTTGTACTCATCCCGAGTCATTGTCCTTCCTTCAAGGAGTGTGTGTACTCATGCACGAGTCACCGTACTCCTCAAATCACAATGTTTCTGATATCGTCATGCAAATATGTCGAAAATCATGTCATATAAATGATATTAAAAGTTTAAACTTTTAAAGAAATAAAAATAAACAAATATACTTTTTTATTTAAAAAATTTGGGATCAAACTACAAAAGAAAAATCATTTCCAAACCCTTAAAAATATCTAATGTTGACCCAGTTCACAGCAAGTTTATAATGATAAAAAACAAACTTTTTTGGCCAAATAGAGAGTAAGTGAATAAAGATTACTCTTCCAACAAAATTTCCATAGCTGATCATTTTCTTAAGCTCAACTAAATCAAAAGTAAATAAAAAAGGTCTAGCACATTTGTCATTTGAGTCTGAGTTCTCTCTGAATAGCCCACATGTGAGCGAGCGGTTCTGAGCCTTACATATGACAAGCAGGGGGTAAATGGGTAATTTTTCCTCCCAGTGGAAGGCTCAAAACTTCTCGCTCGCATGCAGATGGTTCTTAGAGGATTCCTCCCCTTGTAAATAAAAAATAAAATATAATGGTTTGGCCCATTCATTAGGCAAGCTAGAAAAAGATAAGCAAACAAAACTAGAATATCAAAGGAATTCATGGATTGAGCCAATGGTTTAGTCCACCAGAAAGAAAATAAAATAAAAAAATCACAGAAAAATGGACCTGTAAAATTCTAAAACAATTATAGAGAAAAAGTCCCTAAAAGACCATAACTTACAAAATTGCAGAATTACTCCTTTAAAACCCGAGAATTCAAAAACTGCAAATCAGCCCGAGAAAAATCTAAAATTGCAAAATAATCCATAGTTTATAAGTACAAATTTTTTAATACAACTCAGTTCTGCAAAACAAGTCATATTGCAAAATAATCTAAATTTGCAAACCATTCCATATTTTCAACAGTACTAAAAAATAAAAATTTTATATAAAGACGGTTAAAAAAATATTTCGCAAAACAGTCCTATAAATGCCAAAAAATGCAAATAAATCTTATGAATCCAGAAATTTCAAAAGTCCCCAAAACATGAAAAAATCATGGGCCGGAATGTCCTTAAAATAAATGCAAAAATCATCGAACTAGGAAAAAAAGCACCATAAAAAAGTGATGAGTTTATTAGTGCAAAACCCTAAATCTTCAAACTAGGAAAACATGCACAATAACATCCAATAATTTAATTTTGCCAACGCCTAAGTCGTTAAACTAGATAAATATGCACAATTGAAAAATCAACATAAGTTGCTAGACATAGCAACAATGAAAATCAACTGTCGAAATTGACGAACAACACCAAACTAACCAAAATTAAAATGCATTTTGCTAAAATTTGCAAAATTTTAAACCAATTTCCAAAAACTAGCAAACTCAAATAAATTGCCAAAATCGGCAACAATTCAAATCAATCGCTAAAATTAGCAAAATCCCTATCAACTGTTAAAATTGGTATAACCCAAAACCATTGTCAAAATTAACAAGAAATCAGAAAAATATATTGCTAAAATTATCAAACTACACTGCCAAGATTGGCAAAATTCAACATATGTTATTGAATCTCTTAATTGACAAAAACCCCAAAGATAGACTGTTAGCTTTCTAAACTAGCAAATAAGTTAAAGATAGTCTTTCAGTTTCAATCTGAAGCAAGTTTGGAATGGTGTATGCAATTCTAAACTGTTTTGCAAATTCTAGAATGGTGTATGCATTTCGAATTGTTAAAGATGTGTCCTTTATAAGGTAACAAACTTTTATCGGAAAATGAACTGAACTTATAACCGAAGTCCTTTCAAGGCTCTACAAGCATAGCCACTACGTAAAATATTCATAAAAATTAGTCATGACAACAAAAACTTACATTAAAAAATTTAACTTAATACCAATGTGCTATAACAGAAACATGATGGCACAAACACAACATACAAATAAAGGCATGATAAATGCAAACACTTGAAACAATAGAAAAAGATGAATCAATATTCTGAATCTATATTCTGAGTTTGAAGTATATATGTACCTTTTTCTGCCTCTTTCTCCAACTTTACTGCAAAATCCCACGTTTCCCTAAAAATCCAGAACAAAACACTAAAATAAAAAAATGATTCTTGATTATCAAGATCCTCATAGAGAATTTTTATAGTTAACCAATGTAAGTTACTAAGTGGAAATGACAGAGGGTTTTGTGCAAAAAGATTACTTTTATATTTGATCATGGTGCTGTGATGCCTCAAGTAGTAGCGAAGCAAAGTAAGTAATTTTCACAATTCGAGCAAAGATTTCATGTAAAATTGCAACCAAGCAGATCTCCTATCTTTACTTAAGAGATCAGATGAAAGATGCTCATAGCCAAAATATATTATATATATATAAATTTAAAGGATAAAGAATACTGCAAACATATAAAGTTAGCAAACAAACATCCTGCAAAGATAATATTAAAAATCAGCCAAAAATGCCATCAAAAATTTCCCCGAAAATAAAAATATCCATATGAGAAAGCACTTCAATTTTCCTTCACCTGGCCTTTACTACAAGGTAAAGGGATTTTATCAACTCTCTCCATCAAATCCTCGACCTTCAAGATCCTGCAGACGAAAAAAACCCGTTGGAGGGAGTAAAACTATTCTCGATAGAGGCGGGGACGTCAGAAACCGTTGTACCGAGAGAAGAACGATGTCCGGAGGAGGATTTAGGGTTGCAAAAGTTGGGTTGGAGAGGGATTTGGGTTAGACAGATGCCTGAGAGATGAAGAGAGAGAGAGAGAGAGAGAGAGAGAGAGAAAGAGAGATGTACTAGAGAGATGAAAGGGTTTCTGACAGAGATGAAAGGGGTTTACTATGCTGCACGAACAACAAAGCGTTTTTCTTGGAGAGATGGTTGGAGCTGATTTTCAGTCAATGGTTAGGATTATATTGAGAATATTGAGAATATTAAGTAACGATAAAAATTATATTTTACGGGTTAGAGATTTTTTAGCGCAGTCATAAGACTTTTAATATAATATATAGAAGTGTTGGTCGTGATACAAGTTTGCATTCATCAACTCTCGCGCCCTTTCAAAATCTTAATTTGTTGCTTTTAGAACTTCCTAATTATTATATTGTTCTTATGGTTCAACTTGCTTTCATATTTGAGCTTTAGACTGTTATTCTATTCTGAGGCACAATGTGTCATTGTCCATGACAGGCAGCAATATCTGTTCCTTGGAGGGATCTTCCTCGGAAAGTGTCCAAATTATACTTTGCTCTGAGAGGTGCGTGGTAACCTGATTATGTATTGATTTATTTTATCGCAATGTAGATTTTGATTAGGAATTTAATCGGATAACTAATTTTGATTACTGCTCTTGCTGATTATTGCTAACTTGAATTGTACCTTGTTTTCGGATAAGAATTAGTTAGTTAAGTTTGAGTTAGTTTTTATCATATTTATCCTTTGTTATAATGCTAGTTGAATGACATGAAATAAAGTAGAATAAATTAGTGAAAATAATGGTTTGAATTAGTATGTCTAAGACGGAGATCTTTTTGCCTCTCTCTTCACTGGTTTCTTCTCTCTTCTTCCCTTCTACTTCTTTAGTTGCACTAGGTCTGATCTAAACCATAGCGGAACACCCTTATACATGTGGGCTACTTGGTGTCCTTCCAGCATGGTCCTCACACCTAACTATTGCATTTCTTGCCTACTTAACAGCTAGGCAACCAGCTTGCTTATTGCCTCACACCCACACCTACCACCACACATAGGTGCGCGCACACAACCTACCCTCACCCGAATAAAAAAGGAAAGGAGAAAAAAGGAAAACCCTACCTTTCCGCAATAAAGAAACTAAACAAATGAATAAAATGAGACGTGTGTGCATTCACAACTACATTCCACCAAAAACATTGAACATTAAGAAGAAATAGGAAAAGAAATATAGATAGTACAAAGAAAATGGTTTCTATACTAAGTTGTATGGGTACGAGTACAGGCACAAGCATGGGTTGGGTACGGGACACGAAAAATTTATAAAAGGTAGGGTACGGAGTCACGACTATATATATGTATGTTATGTATATTTATGCATTAAAATTAATATTTTACATAAGACCAATATATAAGAAATAGATGTGTAGTATATACGTCCAAAATATATAACGAGTGTTTTAAATTAAAAGCATTTATTACATAATTGAGTGTACGCCTGAAAACGTACGTGTATATTCAACAAGCATCCAAGAAGTTTCGGTGTGGTTATGAGTATGAGTACGAATTCCGATAGGAGTACCCAGGTAACATGGTTTCTATATTTTATGAGCTATATAATTAAACTCCTATACAATTTTCTTGCACAATTGGAAGCAGGATAATTTGACTAATTTTTATAACAAGAGGCAAGATGTGAGAATAATTGACTTAGCGTTAGCGGTTGTTGTTTGTTTGCATGGACGATGATCTTTTAAGTGTTTTGAAGAGATACTGAGGGAATTGGAAGAACATAAAGGGACTTGGGCAATCCCACATGGATCATATACGCATGTCCAAGTAGAATTGCTTTAGCTTTTGTATTCAGAGAGAAAAAAGCGTCAAGGCACATAAAAACGGAGGATTCACATTATTCTTTATCTAGGAAATTGAAAATTCCCATATCTAGTATTTAGTTTATCTTTTATCGCATTTGAAAAGCTTTCTCTCATAATAGGAATAAAGTACTTGAAGGCCCTTGGAGTACTTCAGCTTTTATGAAAGGATCCAAAGGCTTCAGGTGTTTTCTTACAAACAAACAGCTCCTTAATGACCCCATTGTCCATGCGTACAGTGTATTAAAATTGATTTAGTTTTGAGTTTCAACGTTACCACAACTTTAAAGAAGGCTCCACGAGAGAACTTAGAATTTTAAGATCTAGAGCAATCTAATGTCAATGCATTATTATGCCTTGTTTTGGTACGTGGGAATAAGAGGGAATAGAATGCAATTCCAACTTCTCATTCATGCTTACCAAACATGATGTGTTTTTGGTTACTATAAATGTCATTCCCACTTATCATCAATTTTCACTTAATGTGGGAATTGCTATTCTTAATGAGTTATCAAAAATTTGATATGCTCACTCAAGTGAGAATAAAAATAATAAAATAAATACTGGAAATACCCTTCTTAAAGATATTCCCACTTAATTCTCTAATCACGCCCAAACATGAGAATGATAAAGAGCATTCTATTCCCACATGAATGACATTTCATTCTTACTTGACTCCATTCCCGTGTACCAAACGAGGCGTTATTGTTGCCGAGTATCATTCTCGGTTAACTGGAGGTACGAAACCATCATTTCTGGAAAGTTACGAGTTCGAACAAAAATAGAAATTAAGAGGATGAGGCATTGAAAATTGTAATTCATCTCTGAGGCACAACAGAAGACAATTATCCAAAATCACGTATGTTTCCTTAAGGTCCTCCTTATTGGTTCATATACTAGTTTCACATAGCACTGTCCTTTTTTTACTTTCTTCCTGTTTCTGTTTGTTTTTCCCCTTATTTTTGCTATGCCCTTCACCTGTGTTAATTGTTGAGAGATCTTCCTATCTATTCTCTAAAAGGATGTAGATTCGATTGGCTTGTAGCATTTACATGGAATATAAGGAAGATGGAAGGAATCTGAAATTTCAAGAAATAAACTTCTCAGGGCATTACATTATAAGAGCAAAAAGAAAAAAAAAAATCTCAAGGCAGACATCAATATCTCATGCTAGTATGTTTTGAGATCATGAAAAGCCACTCTGTTAACCTAGAATGCACGTCCTATATTCCATTTTAGAGTTTCTATTAAATGCACAGAGGAAGGATGAATTTCATGTCTTAGCAGTAGAAATATTGTGCCTCTCATATTGGCAATGAAATCAGCATTCAGCCCACTCATTGATGCACCTTCAATTTAAGTATTCTGCCAGTGACCTTTACATCAGCACTTCAAACATTACTCAGCATGCACAATTTGAGTTCTGCACTATTGACTGCTTTGCAACTCGAGATAACGTCTAATACTAGCTAGTACATATTAATGTTATTACACGGCATGCCTAGATGACTCAAGCTGTCCTATTTCTGTATATTGTCTTTTAGCTTCAAAGATAATAGTTTCCTTCTCATACTAAATGCAGCCATTTTTGATTGATTCCTACTTAAGAGGAGACAACAATTAATGTTCTTTTCTTACTCAGTGATTGAGAAGTTTGAGTTATGCGAAGGACGCAATCCTGGTGATACATCTACTTCTGATCTTCCAGTTGTTCTAAAGCTGCGGAAAGAATCTTGTGATGCACAGGTGCTTGGTTATTTATCCCCTGGGAATCATGTGACTGAATATTGCATGATGTTGACATCAATCTGGTAACTATGCAGTCTTTAAATGAAACACATATTCCTACCGGCCTCTTGGAGCGCTTACTAGCAGCTGGTGCAAAGGAACATCCTCCTCTTTGTGCAATCTTAGGTGGAATCCTTGGCCAGGTAAGTGTGTCCTGTTTCTGTTTTACAGTATTTGACGTTTGCTGTATCCATCACTATGTTGATATTATATACTATGTTTCGTTTATAGTTTTACTTGAATGATTGTGCACATTATTGTTATCACTATGTTGATATTATATACTATGTTTCGTTTATAGTTTTACTTGAATGATTGTGCACATTATTGTTGTATGTTCTTGTCCTGTGTGTTCTATGTTTCGTTTATAGTTTTACTTGAATGATTGTGCACATTATTGTTGTATGTTCTTGTCCTGTGTGTTCTATCATAGGGTGCATCCTTGTCCTTGAGTATTAGTGATAGTTAGCTGCATTGCTTATAAATTAATTGTTTTGTTTCTTTGCATTACTGTCTCATGAACTGGAAAGCATGAATACTTCAAAATGTCCCCTGAAACCTCATCCTACGCATTTTTCTCCAGCCAAGATACCTATGTGTATCTGGTCACAGTAATTTCTTTCAATGTTGTTAGTAAAATGGAGGACGGTGACGACTGCAATTCACTGGGATATTATTTGCCTGATAATTTATTTCCATTGTTCTGGATCAAGTTTGTTAATATCCAAAACAATACTCAACATTCCCGTCCTCTCAAACTCACATGTTTGCATACAGACAAGCACCTCCTGAATTCCAGTTAGTAGTCCAAAGTTCCAAACTCCTATTTCACTTAAATGCTTAATTATAGTCAACATCTGAACCTGTCTCATGTTCTACCAGAGGTTTAGTGAAACAAATGACAAACAAACAACAGCAAGGCCTTTATCCATTGGGGTTGGCTACATGAAACCTATTCTTCCATTTGGTTCTATTGTTGGTCATATACCCCATAAGTTAAACTATTATCATGGCCTTAATTGCTTCCCACCAAGTTCTTTTGGTTTACCTCTATATCTCTTTGCCTCATTGACTATTATCTTTTCATTTTTCTTAACTGGTGCACTGAAGAGGGCCTCTATTGTACATGATGAAACCATCTGAACCAATTCTCTCATTTTATCGTTGGAAGGTCATCCTTTATCCTAGTAGTGTATACCCGCAAGACGGTCATAAGATTTTTTGCTACACATTTTTTTGCACAAAACCGTTGTAACTTTGAGCGAATCCGTTAAAATCAGCATAGGTAATAGTAAACACAGTGGCAAAGATATTTCTTCATTGTTTACTGTATGATGCCATACTACCGATGTCCTATATTTTTTTACTTTTGAAAATTACTGTAGTTCTGTCTTTGTGTCCAGCATACGCTATCTTTGTCCGTGCTACATAGTTTGTGATAGATCTTCATTGCTGGAACTTTAGTGTTTATTTCTTATTGAACGTGATCATCCCTTATGTTACACGTAATTATGTACACAGCCGGTTGAGTTGCAGATTTGTGGTGGTGTTGAGGGATGCAATAAGTGTAGTGACAGTTTGTTGGCTTGGTGAGGTTTCTTTGCTGTGGCCATCATAAGTTCTTATTGTCTTCAAATAAAAATTTAATGGGCACATGCACTTCAGCAGAGGAGAGCAAATGGTCGGTTCAGTCAGTTTTAATATCAAAAGCCTTTGGATTTTGACTATGTTTTCAGATTCATAAGTGATGATCAACTTGTGATGTACTACTTTCATGCCTCCATCATCTTCCAGCACAGTAGTTGATTGACTCTATGACTCAAATTAAAAATTTATAAATGAAAAGAAGTCGGTTTTTTACATATATGAATAGCTGTCTGTGTATCAAATGAGCAGCTAAAATTGTGATTTATTCGATTAAAAATTTCCTCATCTCCTGAAATTTAATTGGTTTTTTTGCTGAGTTCATCAGGAAGTCATCAAAGCAGTATCTGGAAAGGGTGATCCTTTGAAGAACTTTTTTTACTTTGATGTTGCTGATGGCAAAGGAGTGATTGAGGATATATCTCCACCTCCAACAAATGCTGACGGTACCAATGGCCAGCCTTGAGCCTTCTGTTCAAAGAAGTTATCTAATTTTGTGTCTTGCCGCTAACTCCACGAGAGGATCATTTCTTGTAACTTTGTGAATTGTTCGCTCATTATGTGTAGATGCTCGAGATTGCAGCTTATTTTGTAGATTGGGTAGTTAATCCTCAAGGAAAAAGTTATCTCGAATTTTATAAGTAGTACATTTCATGGACCGACTTATTAACACTTTAGCAGTTGGGTTAAAACTTTGTCCCAAACCTTTCCTTCTGTTGCCGGCTGTTGAATTATTTTTGTTACTGGCTATGCATGGCTGAACACTGCATATCCTGAATTTGTGATTAAGGTAGCCTACTTTTACCTGAGGCTAAATTCCGGATAAGGGGCTGTTTGGTTCATGTTTTTTTGGGGGGTAAAAATGGGGAAAGCTGTCAAAAATGTCAGCTTTTTGGCAGCTTTCCCCCAAAATCAGCAGCTGATTTTGGTGGAAAGCTGTCAAAAAGCTGACATTTTTGACAGCTTTCCTTACTTTTACCACCCAAAAAAGAGGGAACCAAACAGCCCAACCCGATGATTATCATATAACAATTCATAACTTTTAAAATATTAGAAAAACCCTTCCTTCAGCTCTTCAATAATTTTCTTAGAGAATCCCTAGAAAAGCATGAACCATATTTTTCACGGGCAAAAAATCTCTGTTTTTTTACCTACTCGTGAAAATTGCCGTCTGTTTTCTTTTTTTTTAAAAAATTAGATTCTATAGTTAAAAAGGAAGGGATTTTTTTTATTTTACTTTTTTTGGAAGTTAAGGGCAGTTATCTGATATTCGTTCCCAAAAAAAAAAAGTAAAATTAGGATGCCAAGTTAAATGGTTTACTAGACAGGGATTTAACCTTTAAGATCATACGCTTTTGGATTATTTTATATATGCAGTAAATTCTTTTCCTTGCTGGTTATAATGTTAGTTAGGCTCATGTTGTAACTGCTATGGTACTCCAAATGATGGAATTTTAAGTTTGATTTATTGGACCATCCCCATACATACGAATAAAGTTTTTATTATTGATTTTGGTATTATATCCCATTTATTATTAATAATAAAGTTTTTATTATTGATTTTGGTATTATATCCCGTTTATGTGAACAAAACATGCTCCTTTCCCGTATCGCCTAACTTGGAACCAAATCCTCATCCCATCTAACCGCAGCAGCACACGTCCGAACTAAGAACCCATGTCCAATAAAATCCCTCAAAATTCGGCACTCAAAACCGAAATTCAAATCCCATCTCCAATAAAATCCCACTAGCCCTTAACCAACAACAATCCCGTGCATTCAAACAAAAAAAAAAAAAAATCACCCCTCCAAACTTGGTCACCAATATTCTCGACAAAAAAAGAAGAACTCAAACAATGGCAAACACTAAAGAAGAAGAAGAAGAAGAAGAAGAACAAGATCCCCTCAAGAAACAGTTCCAATCCCTTGAAGAAGACTGGAAGTGCTACAAGGAGTCCATTCCCCGTGATCGTCGATCCCACTCGGTCGTCAGCCTTGAACTTCTTCTTAGCACTTCACCGAAGAAGCTCATCTCATCACTCCAACAATGCCACTCTCCGAGAGCCAAGACCAACAACATTAGGGGAAGATCATTACTTGAGGAGCTGGAGAACGTCAAGGATGATGGTGGTGGTGATGATGATGATGATGTTGTTTTTAATGAAGCTAGTCCTACATGCAGTGTTTGTTCCTCTGTTTTGAGTGAAGAGAATGGTCCGGTTTCGTGTTCGTGTTTGAGCCATGATGGTTCAGGTTCTTCTTCTGCTTCGTTGGATTCTATGCGAGAAGAAGAGGTCGACGAGAAATTAGAGAGCAGGAGCGGAGAGGAAAGGTGGATGATGAGGATGGTTTGGGTGCCTGTGACTGTTTTGGTTGCATTGCTGGGAGTCATCTTTATGATGGTAGGGTTTGGTGGGGAGGAGTGTGGGGAGTACGTAACGCCTACGTGAGAGATTTTTTTTTTCTTTCCTTTTAATTTGGTTTTCTAATTGTAAGTGTATTTTTAATTTGGTTCAGAACAGCCACATTCTAGAAAATATTCTGATAGTATTTGTGTTCTTTTTCTTCTAATATAAGATGAATCTTTAATCATCGTATTCATGCGGTATGTCTTAAAATTTTGATCTTCTTGTTGCATTTGACCGTGTTATCAGGTCTTCTAATTTTTAGAATTTTATTAATTATAAGTCGCATTGTCTTCAGTTTTGGCTACTTTGATCGTAAAAGATCCTGTAATGTATTCAAACTTGCAAATCTATTCTATTCCGAGGATATTGGGTATCACATGAATTATGGAAATATGCACGTGGGTATTACGGGCTGAGCTCTTCGATGAATAGAGATATCATCTCAGTTGTAGTTGTATATCATTTATAGTAGTATTAAATTTACACCTAGCAACAGTTATATTATGATAAGAATACAATCCAGAAACGTGTGAGCTATGATGAGCTCAGCGTCACTCATGATTAAAATTAGGATCGCAGATAAAACTTGTGTTACTTATGATTGGCAAAAAAAATTAGGCAAATGATGGTGTATTAATTGTGGGGTTGCCTTTGATAACGATGACACTTTTGTCTGCGTACCTTGGATCTATATCTTCTGAGCTTTAACTTGTAACTACTAATTCTAGGTACCCCCCATCTTTTCTAGAGTCCAGAGACTGGGGGGGCTGAGAATACTAATCTTTGGATGGAACATTTGACAGGGATGAACAAGAAAAAATAAATTAGTCTTTAAGGCAGGGATTAAGGAGAAGGGTTAACTTAGTTAATCCATTGTGAAGGGTTAAAAATATTCTAATTCCGTTTACCTATTGGTGACTAGAACGATCAGTTTAAAATATTCAATTCGTTTCGGAAATCAGCTCGAGTTTAAGACAATGGTTAAGGGACTTTGTGTTTGGCAATAAAGAAGGGATAAAGGAGATTAATCTCATTAATTTTTAAAAATACCACTTCGCCTATACTGAAAATTAATATAATAATGCCTCATTAAATGATTTATTCGCGTTTGTTTATTTACTGTCAATTGCAAGAATTTTACCGCAATATGTAATTCAGTTGGAGTTGGACACGTGGAATTACATTTTATTTATTTTTTTTGATGACAATAACGCTTAAAAATGCATTTGGTATTATTAATAACCATGATTGTTCAGAAGGGTAAATTTAAAGTAATTATCATTTCAATTATTTCAGAAATGTAAAGAGAGAATGAGCTACATATTACTTATATTGGCGTTTCTCTATCAATAAACCTGACAAAAAAATGATTTATAAGTTTTACTCATTATAAAAATTTTATAAGTTTTGCTCATTATAAAGATAGTAAAAGACATAATTCACTCATTATACTTAATATTCGACAACTACATATTTCAATTATTTCCACAAGTTGTAAAGGATCTGATTGCGAAAGACTGTCACCTTCCCTTAAACTTTCATATGACAACATAGAATATTGAGGGGTCTTTGTCCTCCTCCACCTCATTTTATCTGATTTTCATCTCTAATCCATTGAGGTATGTAAAGTATTTATTCATATTCCCTGATGGCCGCAATAATTAATGAGAAACACAGCTTACAACGATTTTGACTTGAGTTTTATAAGGAAATGGAACAGGAACTTCAAATCTTGAATCTTTGCTTTAAGATTCCCATGCTTTTACACTGATACGTAGTTGTGGATGTCTATGATGTATTATTTGTCTTTAGATTATCTCAAATAGGCTCTTTGGGTGATACCTGATTTTGTCAAATCTCCAGATCGAAGTAAGTGATCCACGATACTGGGGCGATTAAATTTTTGACATATTAGCATATCCTGAGTCAATAATAAAAAGTGACTAGAATATTATAAAATTATTCGCGAAAAACAAGGCATTTAAATACCAATTGATGTTTTTTCAAAAAAGAGAAGCGAAAATATTTAAAACTTACCTCAAGGACCATATTAATTACCATCTTCAGATGTTGCACGGCAGAGTAACTGACATATCACGATGCTGATCCATACCCATCAGCGCCACATTAAAGAAAAAAGTATGATCAAAGCAGCATGATTGCCATCTACATTTTGAGATATGAAATTCTTTCGATTAACGATCCTGTTGTGTTTTTTTTTTCTTCACAATTACAGGAATATGAGACTCCATAATTGCTGCCAATGCTTTCTGAGCAAATTATAAAAATGTATAAGGTTCTAATGTATGAAACATACACACAGACACCCATTAAAAAGCCGTCGTGAAAAAATATATGCATTTAGCTCTACCTTTGAATAATGGGCAAGAAATATGAGGAATTCTCATCGAAATTCTTAGGCATGCACGTGTACGCTCAGCGTTGGAAGCTGAAATAATCACATTCTTTTTTACGATAAAATCGCATTAAAGCACGTTATTATAAATGCCTGCTAATATCTCTCCTGAATAGTTGAAAATATTCTCAGATAATATCGATATTGAAAGGCCATGTGAAATTCCAGTTAGAGAAATATACAAAGTTTGTTCATTGCAGCTTATAATATCTAGTTGGCTTAAGCATTCTCTCAATTAGAACATTTTTAAGACAAAAGAATTGCTTTCAGAACTGCATTCGAAAACAAGAATACGAATACGAATCAGGATGTCCAGTCCATACATAATCTTCTACAAGCATATGACCAGAGAATGGTCTAGTTTGACTAATGGGTCGAGGACCTGCTTCATCACATTGATTGATGATGATGCTCGTAATTCATCCGTTCCACATGTACTCATCCTCATCTTATCTTCAAAAAAGCCTCTATAAGATCATCTTTCATCATCAGATGCTTTCACATTCATCACACTAAGCATTGCTTGCAAAATCTATCAATGAATTCCTGTCTCAAACCCTGATATTGTTAATAAACAAAAACATTAGACTAACTTGCCGTAGAATAATAACTATCTTAGCTTTTATGCTTTCAAATTCCGGAAAGTCTTAGTCTGTACCATTAGATCCTCATATTGCCAGATTTGACATGCACCGATATCACTCTTCGTGATAATATCAAATTTATATTATAATGTCGACTATCATTATCGTCACATATGTTTTCTAGTAATATAACTGGCGTAATTTAATACATTGCTTTGAACCATATTAAACTGGTTTTATCATACTTGAAAGAATCCTTATTATATTCT